GCTTCATAATAACAATGCGCCGAGCTCCAGCACTCTGGCCTGCGCACGCCGATATGTTCCGTATTTGATCATTTTTAACGGTGTTGGAGAAATCAGAATGTGTCGAGTCATTCTGGCAGATTGTAATTAACACCTGTCTCATGCAGGTGTTCTGACATTGTAAACCTCACACACAGAACATTGTGGATGTAACAAAATAAATAAGAAATGATTTCCATTCAGGCTATTAACAGCGTGCCGGAGATCTGAAGTTCAGAGTGCGTCTGTCAGAGGTCAGACGCGTGCCAGCGGAACCACGGCTCACGGGTGCACAAGTGAGCACATCTGGGCTGGGCAGAAGTAATTTTACAACATTGGTTTAAATAGCGCTAATAACGAGATGCGGTGACTGGAGCGGCTCATGGAGCTGTGCCGCGCGCGCACACACACACACACACACACACACAGATTCAATAAGAGCGCACGCTGCGCAAACTCCGGCGCCCCAGAAATGAGTGCTGCCTCCTCTGTGATAAAAACTTTTAAGAGGTTTTATAACATTTTTCATTCCAGGTCAAATTAAGGTATTAGCTTCTATTTTGGGATGACGTATTGAAGTCGGGTCCACTCCAGCAGTGACTCCGAACCTGACTACAACCCCTGTTGCAGCATTTGTTGTTCCAGTCCGCGTGGCAGCGGATCGCAGATTCAGCCACACCATAAAACAGCAATACGTCGGTCTGAGGCAAAAGTGAACCTCATGGCTTTTCCATATTTTCCCCTATAGACATTTGATTACGCACAAGTAGGTGACCAGTTCAGGTTTACGCAGAGCAGAAGGAAGGTGAGCGCTCTGGCCGCACAGGTTAAACGTTCCTACTTTAAGAAAACCGTTAAATTGCATTGTTTATGTGCTACCTGGGCACTCTAAATATTTATTTAAAATTAAATCAAAGGAAATTGTAATGGTATCGAATGTTTATTAATTAATATTTAAAAAATGAAAGTGATGGGGAAAAAGGTCGATCATATTTTTTAACCCTGTCTGTTTAGCTTGACGTCTGATATATATATATATATATATATATATATATATATATATATAGCCATGCCCTGATCTGGGGGGTGCGTCGACATGGTCGGGACATAGAAGGGGGTGCGCGGCTAAATAAGTTTGGGAACCACTGGTCTACAGGAAAGGTGCCATTGCGGCTAGGTACAATAACGGGGTTCACAGTGGTGATGTTATAGCATGCAGGGTGGGGTACAAGGTCAATTCGCTGGGAGCAATGGTATGAGGTATTTGTTATGGAATAGTTAACACATTTATTAGGTAGAAGAACCATTTTGCATTGTTTTGGAGGAAGAGTACCCATTTTCAGGGATCCATATTATTAATCACATAAATGGAAAAAATGCTGCGTGTTGGACTATAGAAAAAAGGTGAGATTGGGGAGGAGTTTATAGTTTTTAAAACAAAACAGGAAGTTTATGGGGGGGGGGGGGGGGGGACTTCACAATACCGTTATGTAGAACATTGAATGTGGTTGAGTAAAAACCCTTAGAGGGTTTAGGAGCTTGAGAATACTCAAGAAGGTATTCAGACATTTTGGCATCTAAGGAGAAACTTGTGAGCTTAGGGTGGGTGGATGATGGTGGCTGGCCATGGAACAGCTGAGAAGCCAATTGTCCCATTACTTTTGGTCCCTTAACAAGTGGGAGGCACATATGCAAACTGTTGTAATTCCTACACCGTTCACCTGATTTGGATGTAAATACCCTCAAATAAAAGCTGACAGTCTGCAGTTAAAGTGCATCTTGTTCATTTCATTTGATATCCATTGTGGTGGTGTATAGAGCCAAAAATATTAGGGGCTTAAAGGGGATGTACAGTTGGATGTCATCTGCATGAAGATGGCAGGAGATTCCTTTGAAGGAGCTCAGGATGTGCTGAAGAGGAAGCAGATAGAGGAGGAAGAGTAGAGGTCCCAGCACAGAACCTTGTGGGACACCATGGGTAAGAGAGGTGGTGGAGGACCTAAACTTGGAGACGGCCACAGAAAAGGAGCGCTCAGAGAGATAAGAGGAGAACCACTCCAGAGCAGATCCTGATAGGCCTACCCAGTCTCTCAGCCTCTCCAGTAGCAGGTGATGGTCAACAGTGTCAAAGACTGCAGTCAGGTCCAGCAGGACCAGAACAGAACAGTCCTCTGCATCACTGTGAGACAGAAGGTCGTTAGAGACCCTAAGAAGAGCTGTTTCAGTAGAATGATCTCTACGAAAACCTGACTGGAAGCTATCATAGATGTTATGTTCATCAAGAGCAGCTGTGAGTTGTTTAGCCACAACCTTTTCCAAGATCTTGGAGATGAACGGAAGTTTAGAGATGGTCTGAAGCTGCTATGGAGAGAGGGGTCGAGACTCGTTTTTTTAAGAAGCGGGTGGATTACAGCGTTCTTAAAGTAAGCAGGGACCTGACCAGAAACCAGAGAAGCATTAATTATAGAGAGCACGCTGGGACCGATGGACAGAAAAGCACTTTTAAACAAAGATGAGGGTAAGATGTCGAGGGGGCATGCAGGGGTCTTCATAGAGTTAACTAGTTTGGTTTACTCAGGCAAAGAAACCGGAGCAAAGCTATCTAGGATGATGGGCCTGGTTGGAGTCGGGAGAGGCAGCGATAAGGCTGAAGGAGAGATGCTAGATCTAACCTTATTGACTTTGTCCACAAAGAAAGACAGAAAGTTCTCACAGTCTGTAACAGAGTGGATGGAGGCTGTAGGAGAGGCAGGAGAGACAATGCTGCTGATGGTGTTAAACAGCACCTTGGGGTTCCCTTTGCTCTGGGACACCAGGTTGGAGAAATAGGAAACCCTAGTGTCTCTGACTGCAGAGTTAAAGGATGTCAGAAGATCCTTTAGGTGCAGCAGATGGACATGGAGATGGGTTTTCTTCCACAAACGCTCAATTTTTCTGCATTGGCGCTTCAGGATGCGAAGGCTGTCATTAAACCAGGGAGTAGGGTTCACTGCAGGAACTGATCTGGTTCTGACAGGACAGATGTTGTCCAGACTGAGATCCTCATCTGTGCTCCAGACAAGCTGGTTCCCGAAGTCAGAGACTCTCTTGGTCAGCTTGCTTCCCACACCAATACTCTCTAAAACCAGACTGAAATTTCTTAAACAGACCATTAGTGTCTAAATGCTCACATAATCGATTGGCCACTATTTTTTAAAAATCTTTAGATGAAAATGTAAGGTTAGATATTGGTCTATAATTTATTAGGTCATCTGGATCCAGAGAAGGTTTCTCAAGTTTTTAGCAAGGAAAACATGGTAGAGCAAGTCCAAAGTGAAGGATCCTCGTGCCTGCTTAGTAACTAAATCATTTAAGCTGACCAAGAATATCGGGCTTTTCTGGTCCACTGCGGTCAAAGTTCTGTGAGTCAGCCATTGTCGACGCACTGGCAGCATCAACTCGACTACTGGCGCTGTGTCGAAACGGAGCCGGGAGACAAGTCCACACTCTCAGTATGCGGCTGAGCGACTCAAAAGTGAAGCAGCGTCAACTTAAAGGGTTGCGGTTTTTCTGTGGTCTCCTTCAGAGATCCACATGTGACTAGTTGACTACAGCCTTGCATCTGAGATGGTCTGTGTGGCTCGGCTGCCTCGGGAAACTGGAACAGCCAGATGTCTGCTCCAGCAAGTGTTTGTTCCTGGGCAAGAGACAGGAGAAGCCGGGCACCCGCTCAATTTTCTTATGCAGCCCCACTAACATGTTTGACCAAACAATTAAATGACACAGCATTTCCCGCATTCAGCCAGCAAAATAAAGTACAGAAATATAATTTTACTTACTGAAAAGAAGCAGAAATTGCTTGGGTGATCTGTTATTAGTGCAGTCAATAACCACAGTTTTGTGTCCAAATAGTCCCATAATTAACATCCAAACATGAACGCACAGAAGACACAGCTAAAATTCAGAGATTCGAAATGGCCGAACTTCTATTAATGTGAGAACCAGGCTGAGGCAAGCCTGGGCCTCACCGCTAGCTCTGAAGTCACAAAGCTCTGATGCTCATTAATTATTTCACCTTTCCAGCACCTATAATGCAGCACTGAATCTAATTCCCAAACAGTTTCAGTCTATATGTTGTTCATTCTGTTTAAGAATTGTGTTAACTACTGTTGAAAAGCTAATAAACAGACCTTATTTGGGAAAAAAATATTCTTTGTCTAAATAAACTTTTAATCTGTCATTTGACTTGATTGATGGACACATACTTTGTCCATAGGGGATTTCTTACTTTCATTTAGGTGAACTGGGTGGAAACAAGACAACACTGTTGTTTTTTAATATAAAATCTTTCAAAACCTTTTACATTAAATTGCTTGCTGCAAAAAATTCACGATAGCTTTGCTGAGTTAGTTTAGAATTTTTATTTTACACCATGTTGAACACATTGACTTGATTTTGCATAGCAGCAATAATTGACAGTTCTGTATAATAAAAGAAAAAATAACTAAGAAATGTAAATATTTCATTTTTGACTGTTTATTAAATTATGATAATATTTGCTTTACAATTGCACATCTGAGCATGATAGTGCATCATGCAAGATAAGCACGAAAAAGCTTTGGCTTCAGGCAAGTACAAAAGGTTTTTTTCTTCTCTATTTATTTTTTCTGTATGTAATTATTTATTTAAATAAAAATATTATAATTATTGCTTTATTATCATCATTTATTATTTGTTTTGGTTTGGTTTATTTTGAATTATCATCTGTAAGCATAAAAAAGTGTAATAGAAATGTAAAATCAGAACAAACATTCATTTATTCAAGTTTAAAGGATATGAAATGTTATACCGTAGAGGGCGATGTGCTGCAATTCTGCATTATCGGCTTTTGGAGTTACTGTTGTAATCCTCACGATTTACCAGTCTGTGGCGGTAGTCGTTTACTAAACGCGATTAAACACAAGAAGAAGAATGTTAACCTTCGTAGTTCTTCATGGTTGTTGTAGTCCTTTTGTGTTGCGCGTGCGTATTTCGTTACCGGAAGTTACGAAGAGCTTCACGTTTCGAGTCCACAAACTAGCTTAGCTTTTCTAAAGTTAGGATTATTTAAAGTGGATATGTTTTAGTTCTCTGCGAAGTAATGCCTTCCATAAATGGAAAAGCGGATGTTATCTTTGTGAGTTACACGCTAAAGCATATTTTTAGTATTCGTTACAACAAGCTATAACTTTTACGCATTGCTAGCCTGATAGAGAGCATGGCATATTTACCATTAAAACGTGAAATATATGCAGTCAAACAAACGTTTTTATGTTTGAGTTACGTAGCTTTAGTAATTGTTTATCTGAAGCACGTAATGTACTATACATGTAGAATGCTGTTGAAGAAATACTGCGCTTTCGCGCTACATTTGTTAGCTTTACAGAAAATCACTGTTTTGTGATTCGTTACGGCTTCCCTCTTTAGGAGGATGACGACCTTCCTTATGAAGAGGAGATTATCAGGAACCCGTACTCGGTCAAGTGTTGGATGCGTTACCTTGAATTCAAACAGAATGGACCCAAAGCCACCCTCAACATGATATATGAGCGCGCTTTGAAGGAACTACCTGGAAGGTAACATAAAGAAAAGTTGTTACATGAACATTGAGGTTATTTTAATCGCTGTGAGCACACGTTGCAACTTCCAAGAGCAACGATGTATCTGGGGATTTTTAGTAAGCTGGAACCTTTACCAAACATTACTAATGTGACTTAACATCATTTAAGATCACAACATGCCCTGTAGGTTATAAATTGTAAGTCGCTTTGGATAAAAGCGTCTGCCAAATAAATAAACATAAGTATTTAGTTGTATACACTGACATTGAGCTTGAATCTGTTCTTGTGTTCTATCTCTTGTTAACAACTTCTTAACCTTTACAGCTATAAACTGTGGTACAATTACCTGAGAGAGAGAAGGAAACAAGTCAAAGGGAAATGTATAACTGAGCCCACGTATGAAGAGGTCAATAATTGTCATGAAAGGGCACTGGTGTTCATGCACAAGGTACTGATGACTCAATTAGAAACATTTTAGCTGTAAACACAGGTGGGAGTTGTATTTTATAACTAACCAATCAATCTTTACTTAATCTAGATGCCTAGGATATGGCTTGATTACTGCCAGTTCCTCGTGTCCCAGTGCAAGATTACTAGAAGTCGACGGACACTTGACCGTGCACTGAGAGCCCTGCCTGTTACTCAGCATCCACGCATCTGGCCATTATATCTTCGCTTTGTCCGTAACCTGCCTCTACCTGAGACAGCCATCCGGGTCTATCGGAGGTACCTCAAGGTGAGATTCTACTGTACAATTCTGTTTTTAAAAGTTAAGCAGATGTTATGTGATGGACTGGCAATCGGTTCAACCCATGTCTTGCCTGTTAACAGCTGAAGATGAGCTTCTCTACTACTTTTGGGTTTACTTTTCATTTTGTTTCGATAGTGTACTTTAATTCAGTCGCCTTCATCAGGATTATTTTGGGTACAGGAAAATGTGATTATACTTCAAATTTTAGGTAAAGATTTGTTGACTAGGGTGACTATATCACCTATTTTCCCAGACATGTCCACTTTTCACTCTGTATGGGGTGGTTTCCTATATTGATTAAAATGCCCAGTTTTTCATCCAGGAGCAGGGTTTGAATTAAGCAGGAGCTGGATATCTTACATATCCAGGGAGAGCCCAAAAAAGATCTTGTTTCTACCTACATTACTTATTTACATGAACTCTCAGCATACTGGGGATTCTTTTGAGCAGAGAACAAGGAGAGCGGCAGAGCACTGGTTGCTCTCCAGGCAGCTGCGTCCTGCGTTCGGCCACAGTGCTCCGGTGATTTCAGTTCCTTTATTTTTTGTGGCCAGTAGATCTCCTTGATCTGCTTAGTTCAAAAGAAACTCATGAAGTGAAAAAGTAAGAAGCTAGGCAGCAGTTTTTCAGGAGGACTGAGGAGATACAGGAATATCGGAGACGGACGGGACAGAAAAACAGTCAAATATATAACAAGAAAACAAACAAGGCTTGTAAAGGAAAGTGTAGATAGATTTATCCCCCTTATGTATAAAACAGTAATTTATAAGCACATGATATGTATATATTTAATACTATTCAGATCACCTTTAAAACTCAGTCCCACACCCAGGGCCATTTCAAGGCCTTTTGGGGGCCAATGTAAAATAGAACACCCCCACTCCATGTCACATGGCCCCCCCAAAAGCCTCTGTGTAATTCATACCCTGTCCAGGAGTATTCATTTTACAGTGTTAGTAAAAAGACCTCTGATATTAGGGACATGTTCTAAAGTTGTCTGACGAATAAACAAAATTGGACATGCTGTCTCGTCTGCTTCTTCCAAATTTTCAATAATACATCAGTAACAAACCTGTTTGAAAGCCACTAACTGTGGATTCTCTGGAGGTTTCCACAGAGTCTGTGACAGACTTTGTTTTTCATTGATCTGATTGTCTAATCTGTAATGATGCTGTAGTAAATGCGATGTTTAATAATTCCCTATTAATATAGCATTATAGCACTAAAGCAGCAACTTTGTTGGCGGAGTCTCGTATTAATTTTAGCTCTAAGCCAGGTGTTCTGACAGCTTTGGCATAGTGTAGGCACAGTTCCCCTGTCCTCTTTCTGGGAAATGGAAATATGGTCACCCCATTGTTGACATAAATCAAAATAGACATTCTTTTTTGTAGCTCTCTCCAGAGAATGCAGAAGAATACATTGACTACTTAAAGTCTGTTGGTCGCTTGGATGAAGCAGCAGTGCGACTAGCAGCAGTTGTTAATGATGAAAGTTTTGTGTCCAAAGAGGGCAAGTCCAACTATCAGGTAAGATTTTATTGTCGTTTTAAATACCGTGTGTGTGTGTGTGTGTGTGTGTGTGTGTGTGTGTGTGTGTGTGTGTGTGTGTGTGTGTGTGTGTGTGTGTGTGTGTGTGTGTGTGTGTGTGTGTGTGTGTGTGTGTGTGTGTGTGTGCGCAATAAGTTTACAGAAAACCCTCACAGCCCTTATTTAACTTGTAGTTTTTGTTGTTGGTTTTTCCAGCTGTGGCATGAGCTATGTGACCTGATCTCTCAGAATCCTGATAAAGTGACCTCTCTAAATGTTGGAGCCATCATACGTGGAGGTCTCACACGCTTCACAGACCAACTTGGAAAGCTTTGGTGCTCTTTAGCTGACTATTACATTCGAAGTGGCCACTTTGAGAAAGTGTGTTTCCTCTGAAGAGTGTTCATTAATGTTCATAAATCACTATTCATAAGTAGTGTGTTTAGTTTTAGTCAGTTATTTAACTCTTTTAACTATTTCAACTTTTTCTGATCGATTTGTTTTCTCAGGCAAGGGATGTGTATGAGGAAGCCATCCTCACAGTGGTAACAGTCAGGGATTTCACACAAGTGTTTGACAGCTATGCCCAATTTGAGGAGAGCATGATTGCTGCAAAAATGGAGACTACCGCCGAGATGGGTCAGGAGGAGGAAGGTTTGTTCATTTTCATTAAGAGTGAAAAAGATTGAACATCGACAAGAACACACTTCTTATGAATGCCTTTGTGTTGCCGTTCTCTAGATGACATAGACTTGGAGCTCAGATTGGCGCGCTTTGAGCAGCTGATAGCTCGGCGTCCTCTTCTGCTGAACAGTGTACTTTTGAGGCAGAACCCACATAATGTTCATGAGTGGCACAAGCGAGTGAAACTCTATGACGGAAACCCGCGGCAGGTAACGTTTTTCTCCTGTACACATTTCTGCAAAACAATTTTCTGAAACCACAATGTAATGTGCACAACTTCTTCTCTGCAGATCATCAACACGTACACAGAAGCTGTTCAGACAGTGGATTCAATGAAGGCTACTGGAAAGCCTCACTCTCTCTGGGTTTCTTTTGCAAAATTCTATGAGGAAAATGATCAACTAGATGATGTAAGCCAGTGAGGTTCTTCCACAAGTAACACATCGATCTCCTGAATTCAAGGTAAATGTTTGTGGTTTAATTATTTGATTTGTCTTTTAACAGGCTAGAACGATCTTTGAGAAGGCTACCAAAGTGAACTACAAGCAGGTAGATGACCTAGCTGCAGTCTGGTGTGAATATGGAGAAATGGAGCTTCGCCACGAGAACTATGATCAGGCACTACGCATACTGAGGGTAACAAAGTCACAGCACATTTTATTAGTGTTATTTTTTATATTTTGATTCTATCTACGAGGAATATATAACAAACGTTTTCACCTCAAGGCTTTAGAATGGTAAAATATAAAAATATATAACAAAATAAAATGTGCGTATAATAACAATTACAGATAACCTCATCACGTTTTCTAGCTAAGAAAACCGAAACATTGAATTGGATCTTCTCTTCAGTTTGATCCCACTTCTTGTGCATGGAGAAAGTAGTGGGGAGAGGTAAATGGTCTTTACAGCAGAGAGATAACCCGCAAAATTAGACTCAGCTGGGTGCAGGGTTCCAGCGAGGTCTTAAAAAGTCTTGAATTTAACTGGATGAGACCTGTAGAAACCCTGTGGGTGACCTGCATCAATCAGCTAGGGTGGAGGAAAGAAACAAGCACACTTAAGGCACCTGGTTAGGTGGCAGTAGAAAAAGCATGTAAGATTGTCAGATTAAGTATTACTGACAGTGCTTAAAAGTTATTTTTCTGCATAACTTCAGACATCATGCACAAAACTAAATTCATGTTAGTAAACGTGTGTGATTAAAACAAAATCATGTGTATAGTGTAAAGTTTGAAATTAAAGCGTTACTTATTTCTATATTTTTTAATTATTTTCTTGTGACAGTATGTGTTAAAATGACCCTTTACTGGGTTAATGACGTGTCACTTGGATCCCCACTGCCCCCTGTGAGCAGTATATTGCACTTGCAACTTCAGAGTTGGCTGCTAACCTTTAGGTCCCACTTTAGTCTTGGTAATGTGGAACTGACATGCTGCAGTCTGGTTCAAGCATGTTTCCTGCATGTTTTAGATCCTGAACACAACTGATTAGTTTGATTTAGTGATGAACCACACCCGTAGAAACTAATGAAGGCTGAGGAGACATTTCAGCTGTTCGATTAATTCAATTCAATTCAAAAATACTTTATTAATCCCTGAGGGAAATTGATTGCTGTAGTAGCTCATAATAATAATAATAATAATAATAATAATGTGTTAAAAAAGACAAACACACAAGATGTAGTATATTACATTTTCCTTTAAAACAGCAGATTAATAACAGACTCTTAGGGGTGCTAAAAGCAAGCCAAAACTGCAGGTTTTCTCTTTAAAGGGACATTATGGAAGTTTGACAGCCAAAACATGTATAGAAATAATAAATTTCTTCTCAATACATTCTCCTGCAAAGCCCTGGTCCTGTAGAATTTTTACTGTGATTGCCTATTTTTCTTTAAAATCACAGAAAAAGACAGCTGCTCGGGTCGAGCAGGCTGCTTCATGCGCGTTCACGTGCAGGCATAGCCCTCCGAAGCGTTCTTTGAACGTTGTTTCAGCTGTCATCAAGAATATAAATGTTACAGATACAGATGACGTCACTGGCGGTTTAGCTCGCCTAGTAAGACTTTGGGCTTTCGTGCAGAAGACCCGGGTTCGATTCTGGATGTGAACATAGTTGATTTAGAGTTTCTTTTTTACATTAATGGTTTATTTTTTTTTACAGTAAGATGCCCAAATTTTTATTTGAGACTCGCCGAACGGCATTGAATCCACAGGTAAAAAAGATGTGGGTTCAACTTTCATTTTGGAACAATTTTTCAAGCAAGGGAAGGGCATGATCTGAGCATGCAGGAAGACTGACCCATCTTAAACCTTTGTCGGCTGTGCTGAAGAGAAAGGTACAGAACCAAATTATTTAATTAATTAGCTGCGCGTTCTCCTGTCCTCTGTCCTCCGGGCCACACACACACACACACACAACGGACTATCTCAGCTGTTATTTTCGTTAAGGAGTGTGCACGTACAGCATGCGTGCCTCGTGCACGAGCCTCCTATTGAAGCTGCCATTACGCTTTTGGCCTGAGGGGGCAATCGCGAGCATAAAAATTCAAAACTTCGTAAAGTCCCTTTAAGGGGTTCTGAAAAATCTGAGCTTTCACAATAACTAATTGAAAGTTCTCATTGATAAAAGGATAAAATAGACATAAGTACAGTAAACCTTTGAAATAATCTGGTGATTTATAGAGCACATTACTTCCCCCAATAGTCAACACAGATTAGATTTATCTGTGACATGGTACTGCTACACAGTGAGTACATTTGTATGCTTGTCTCCATTTTAATGATCCATAATAGAAAGCTACAGCCATCCCATCAAAGAAGGCAGAGTACTTTGATTCGTCTGAGCCCGTCCAAAACCGAGTCTACAAATCCTTGAAGGTTTGGTCTATGCTGGCAGACTTGGAGGAGAGTCTTGGCACTTTCCAGGTACGTTTTTCATGTTTTCCATTGCAAATTATAGTAAACAAACCTGTACAATCAAACAGCAGATAACCCCTGGTTCAGATTGGTTGTTCCCAAGCTTAATTAGCTTTTTATTTTACTTTGAAATCCTCAGTCTACAAAAGCAGTATATGACCGTATTATTGATCTACGCATTGCCACTCCACAAATCATCATCAACTATGCCATGTTCCTTGAAGAACACAACTACTTTGAAGAAAGCTTTAAGGTAAACTTTTCATTTACAAATTTTTAAAAGTACAATTTTACACAATGCTTCCATCTATCTTTGTGTTTGTATGCATAAGGGCTGAACGATTAATTGCATATGCAATTAAACTGCGATGTGACAAAAGGAGATTTTCTAATCGCAAAGCTTGCGATTTGACTGGTAGCGAGTGGTTAGCACAACGCTAATATACATGGAAAAGCCCATAGGGATGCTAATATCGCCGATTACATGCTTACAAATGGCAAATTAGAAATGTGCCAAATGATTACATTTGGAGTCTAATAAAAAGTAAAAACTGCCATCAATCAAATAAGTACAGACAGATATTTTAGTAAAGCTAGAAAACCGTAAGAGACTTTAACTCCACTGAGTTTTGGCTAGCAGCTATGGATGTAACTGAACTACGGAAGCTCTGCAAGGACAAGACGTCAAAAACTAAACACAAAAAGACTAAAATAAATGGGGCACCTTTGGTGTGTTCTTGCTGTGTTGAAATTCTAATTCCATCTTTTAGTTCTTTTTAAAACACAGAAAGGTTTTATTTACCTGCAACGTTTCGTTTGCGGCTGCAAACTTCATCAGGCTGATGTTGATGGAGCGTCAGCCTGATGAAGTTTGCAGCCGCAAACGAAACGTTGCAGGTAAATAAAACCTTTCTGTTTTAAAAAGAACTAAAAGATGGAATTATAAATGGGACACACTTCTTTTCTGCAAATTAATATTCACAGTTGATGCTAATACCTATGCTCCTTCAAAGGATGTGCTCCTGGCTGCAAAGGATTGCACCTTCAAATACAACACTAAGTCTTTACTTGTACTGAATATAATCAAGTTTATGTATCTACATATCATATCAACAAGTTTATTTGTCTACAAATACATAAACACATACAAGTTACATAGATTTTCTTTGCTCCCTTAGTTGAAAAATATAAGAAAATTCCCTTGAGAAAATAATCGTGAATTAAATTGCAATTCCAATATAGAAGAAACAAATTGCAATTATATAACTTTCCAGAATCATTCAGCCCTAGTACGCATCTGATTTCTTATTTTTATGCTCCTCCAAGGCGTACGAGCGAGGGATTGCTCTCTTCAAGTGGCCAAATGTTTATGACATCTGGAACACCTATCTCACCAAGTTCATTGATCGTTATGGAGGAAAGAAGTTGGAGAGAGCTCGAGATTTATTTGAACAAGCCCTGGATGGCTGCCCTGCCAAATTTGCCAAGAGTAAATATTTGTTTCAAAATAAAATTCAACCAAGAATGTAGGTGTGTGAGAACCATCTGTAAAATGTACTGAAACACTTTTTCTGTGCAGCCATTTATTTGTTGTACGCCAAACTGGAAGAGGAGTATGGATTGGCTCGGCACGCCATGGCTGTCTATGAAAGAGCCACGCAGGCTGTGGAAACAGAAGAGAGACACCACATGTTTAATATCTACATTAAAAGGGCAGCTGAAATTTATGGTGTTACGTATACCAGAGCCATTTACCAGAAGGCCATTGAGGTAGAGTTCTGTTCTTCCTATAACTTACAGCTGCATTTAGTCTTTTGTCTAAAAATTCTTGTCAAAATTACAAGGGTCATAATCCTTTTTATGTTCAACTCTGACTCTTTATGCTGCAACGACAAATTTGGAATAAAATTTAAATTCACCCAGGTCCTTCCTGATGAGCATGCAAGGGATATGTGCCTGCGATTTGCTGACATGGAGAGCAAACTTGGTGAGATTGATCGGGGCAGAGCCATCTACTCCTACTGCTCTCAGATCTGTGACCCAAGGGTGAGCGTCGCCTCTTTACTCACCTTAACCTCAACAAAATGGCAGTCTTTGAACGATGTGGGCTGGTTTTCTGTTAGTTTTCCTATATTTGTTGTGGTTTTTGTTTTTTCCATTAGGTGACAGCTAATTTCTGGCAGACCTGGAAAGAGTTTGAGATCCGTCATGGAAATGAAGACACCATTAGAGAGATGTTGAGGATCAAACGCAGTGTTCAGGCCACCTACAACACCCAGGTCAATTTTATGTCATCTCAGATGCTGAAAGCTACCACCAGCTCCACTGGCACTGGTAAGACCACAAAATTCAAAGGAAGGTTCATCCTGTTTTCATACTAAGCACTGCGATGCATTTTGTAGGCTAAATTAGATATTGAAGCATTGACATTATGGCATGCAGGGGCAGCAGTAGCTCAGGAGGTAAGTAATCAGAGGATTGTTGGATCAGTTCCAGCTCCCTGCAGGAAATTCTGCTGTTGTGTTCTTTGGCAAGACGTTTCACCGTCCTTGCCTGCTGGTGGTGATCGGAAGGACTCGCGGTGCCTGTGTACAGCAGCACCGCGCAGTCAGTGTGCTCAACGGGCAGCTGTGGCTACATTGTAGCTCACCACCACCATTGAATGGATAATCATTAGTTTAAAGAAGAAGAAGAAGAAAATATCATTTCTATAGCGCCTCAAGATAAAAATCACGAGGCGCTTCACAAAAACAAAAGATGTAAAAATATAAAAAAGCATTTTGAAAATGTTTAAAAATATATTTAAAATGTGCAAAAATAGACTATTGTGATTAAAAAAGGTTAAGAAAGAGAGAGATAATTGGAAATAGGGAAATCAGTGGATCCTGAGGAAGGTGGAATAGGTGGGGAGAGCAGAATAAAGAGAGAGAGGTGAAGAAGGTCATACAAAAGCCAGCTTGAACAAGTGAGTCTTCAGCTGCTTTTTAAAGGAGACCACTGAGTCCACTGATCTCAGGCTCAGGGGGAGAGAGGTCCAGAGTCTGGGGGCCACAGCAGCAGATGATCTGTCACCTTTGACCTTTAGCCTGGTGCTGCACAACCAGTAGGCTTTGATCACTGGACCTCAGGGACCTGCTGGGGGTGTAGGGACTAAGAAGATCACCAATGTAAGATGGTGCTTGTCCATGTAAGGCCCTATAGACCAGAACCAGGATCTTGAAATGAACCCTGAAGTTGACTGGCAGCCAGTGAAGCTGGAGGAGAAGCGGGGTGATGTGGGTGTGTTTGGAGGACTTGGTCAGAAGCCGAGCACAGGTGTTCTGAACCACCTGTAGACGGTTCAGGGAGGTTCTGCTCAGACACGTGAAAAGAGAGTTACAGTAGTCTAAGCGTGAGGAGATGAAGGTGTGGAGAACTGTCTCAAGTTCAGAGCGGGATAGAATGGGACTCAGCTTAGCAATGTTCCTGAGATGGAAGAAGGAAGAGCGAAAAAGAGAACTGACATGAGAATCCAGGGTGAGAGCTGGGTCAAAGGTCACACCAAGATTCCTGACGGAAGGTTTATTGTGACAGGCAAGCTGACCAAGAGAGTCTCTGACTTTGGGAACCAGCTTGTCTGGGGCACAGATGAGGATCCCAGTCTTATCTTCATTCAGCTGAAGAAAGCTCCCAGCCATCCAGGTTTTGATAGAGTCTAAGCAGGTGTGTAACAGCTGCAGCTTAGACATCTCATGGGGCTTAAAGGAGATGTACAGTTGGATGTCATCTGCATAAAGATGGTAGGAGATTCCTTTGAAGGAGCTTAGGATGTGCTGAAGAGGAAGCAGATAGAGGAGGAAGAGCAGAGGCCCCCGCACAGAACCTTGTGGGACACCATGGGTAAGAGAGGTGGTGGAAGACCTAAACTTGGAGACGGCCACAGAAAAAGCACTTTGGAGTCCTCTGACAAGTGCAGGTCATTTATCATGCACCATATTTGTCCATTCTCTTAATGAAATACCTTGGTATACCATAAAAAATAAAATTTTATACCAATGTTTCTGTTTTGCCCACTAATAATTTGTGGTTTCAGTTTCCGATCTTGCGCCTGGCCAGATGGGAATAGATGACATGAAAATGTTGGAGCAGAAAGCAAAGCAACTTGCTGCTGAGGCTGAGCAAGACAAACCAAAACCCAAGGAGAAGATTCTATTTGTCAGGTTTGTGACTCTTAGTGATTTTGAAATTGATCACAGGATATCTCAAGGAATGTAAGACCTTGTCTTGAAGAAACAACATCCTACATTTCTTATCCGCTTACACAGAAGTGACACAACGCGCAGTGAGTTAGCTGAGCTCGCCAAACAAGCCAATCCTGATGAGATAAACATTGACGAGGATGACGAGGATGAGGATCAAGGACCAGAAGGTGAGGGTTCAGCCAAGTAAAACGGGGAAGATTGCTTGTTTAATATTTTTGTTGATGTGTTTTCTCATTAAATTGCATCTGTCTTGTGATTTTGAACATTACAGAGGTACAACTTGAGCAGAAGAGTGTGCCAACAGCAGTTTTTGGAGGACTGAAGGACGACTGAATGATAACGCACTCGATTTTTGCTAAATCAGGACTACTGTTTCTCCCGTGGTCTTTCAGTAACTTGTTTAGAAAAAGGACCGTGTTTTTATTTTTATTGTTTTGACACAGAAACACAAACGGCAAACAGCAGTTGAACAGTGAACTCCTATAACTCAGTAAATGTTTTGGCCACATGGTGTCACCGAAATTAAAGTATGAGCCTTTGGATGTTATGTACAGTTGTGTGCTAACTAAACCTTATTGTGTAGTCTGACATTTTTAAACATTTTCTTAAACAAGTAATTGTGATAAATCTTTAGGGGTTTTTTGGGGGCGGGTCTTAGAAGAAAAACTGTCCTAGTGAAAGAACATCGTTTTGACATCCAATGCCTGACTTTGATGGGTTTAGTACCAAACATTTATAGTTGTCTGAAATGTTTCCCAATAAAAGTCAAACTGTTGAATAAATATAACTTTTCATGTAACAGTTTTGTTTAATCAGTTCATAGTATTAAATGAGAGGTGTGTATAATCAGGAAATTCTAATATTGAACATAACCTGTGCAGATGTCTGTGCTCTGATTTAGTGCTTTTAAAATGTGATTAGGCTAAGGTTGCCATTTAACCCAGACACCAGTGTTTTTTGGTAATCAACATTCCTCACATTTAAAGGGTCCAATATGAGTAGTTTAGGTTACTACCTCAACTTATGACTCAAACTGAATTTAATGTTCAAATGAGAAATAATTGCTTCTTTCTGATTAGATTAAAATAGCTGAGAGGTAATCCTCTTACAAAGTTATGGCAGTGAACCACTTACTGAGCTCAAGCAATTTTGAGGATCATGTGAGGAGGTGCTCTGTTTTTTTTTTTATCTGGAAAATGGCTTCTGAGGCCATCTCATTAGAAGCAAACATATTAGGTCATCACTCACAGAATGCGTATAAACAACTCCACAGTTTTATTTTGCATACCTTTGCATGTTTTAGGAAACATTACATGGAAAAGGTCCTCTGCCGTCACCTTTGCTATTTCGAATGTTGAGTACAACTGAAACATCTAGTTCAGAGCACAGGTTATTAAAGTGGCAGCCAACATTATTCTAGCTATAGTTACTGGAGCTTCTAAATTCATCAACAACTAGACAAGTTGGTTTCTATTTGATCTGTAGTTAGGTGTTTTGATACCCAAAATGATTTGGTACTGGCAGTTATACAGCTTTTAAAAACACAGCTATGTTTACCTTAGTGAAATATTTGTAAACTTCCAGTACTTAGACGTATCCAGTCCATCCCTACATACGAGATGCACCTGTAGCCTAGTTCAGGCCCCACCTGTACCTGCTGTCGGCGTCCACGGGGAAGTCCCGCCCTCTGTGCTCAGGCTCAATCGTGATTGGATGGTGGGTTGACAGAGTGGCGCGAGTGTGGAGCGCCTGGCCGTCACTCAGACTGGACCGAAGCGGAGCTGTGATCGGAGAAGTGACAACAGCAATGCGGGCGAATAGGGGGAAAATAAGTGGGAATGCTCCGGTTTTCCGTAGCAAGCTTGCGGATCGTACCTTTATTTGGCTGTAAGGTGCAGCTGAGCGGACCATTCGTTTCTGAAAACACACATTAGCAGGCTTGAGCGCAGGCAGGACCGGGCCGGATATTTTTTTTCCCGAGGAAAACCTGAAACCACATCCGTGTTCCCAACCCTGCTGCTGCGGTCGTGTGGGATACTCGTCAAAAACAATGGTTGCTTGATTTTTTTTTTCTTTATACAAGCGTCTACCACCTTTTTTTGCCAACATAGATTTCCAACATTTCCCACGATCGCTATGGTGGACTCCCCTGCCGTGAGGAAGACTTTTGTGGTCCCAGACATAAAGCCATTGGATCTGTATGACAGCACTAAATCAAAAATATGCGCGAGTGTCGGGTGGCTGTTGGCGAGGTCCTACGGCGGTTCAGGTAGGTTGGTTCACGGCCTGGTTGGTGCCTTCAAACACCGTCTGGGTTGGTTGTGTCAGACATGCATGCTTTTGTTTTCCAACAAAGTGTTTTTGTGGTAGCTAAAGTACACGCGTGTGTGGAGCTGCAGTGTGTTTGGGTAGTTCAGCGTTTTTAGCACAAAGGCGCACGAGAGGAGAGGACGCTGTCAGTGCGATCGGTGTGTGTGTGTGTGTGTGTGTGTGTGTGTGTGTGTGTGTGTGTGTGTGTGTGTGTGTGTGTGTGTGTGTGTGTGTGTGTGTGTGTGTGTGTGTGTGTGTGTGTGTGTGTGTGTGTGTGACACATGTCATCGTTTCTTCTCACTGCGGGCATGCCTGTCCTCCTGTAGGCCTCCCTTATCAGGCCAGCCGAGCTCTGACATGACAGCCGTCTCTGGGGATGTTTTAACCCACAGCTCCCAGCACGCAACACTGGTTTCCAGTCCATCCCATATAGTTGGGATGAACTATAATTTTCGACCTAAAATTATTCCATCTCAGATTGTCCAGTAGTTGACAGAAAGATGAACCGTGAGTGATGTGAAATGCAGCAAATGTAAAAGTGGTAAAGTTTCATCGTGGGATTTTATTTAGTCTCAGGATGGTTGAACTTTGTCAGCTTTGGTCCCAAATATGATCAAAATGTTACTGTTATTTTTATTTTGTAAAGCCTACAAGTAAATATTTCACAAGGAGAGGTTTAAATGGCCCAGAGGCAGGTTTAATTACGGAACCCTCTTCATATGTGTAAACTTTTACCTGGAGAGTACAAAGGACACAAACATGGCTCCTCATGATGAGCCCAAGCAGGTCCTGGATTTAAGTCTTCAGGCTTTGGCAACCTGTGTTTAGGAGTTTCAACCACACCCATTGGTCAAAGTCATTTGCTGCCAGGGCACTGGAATATGACAACAAACACTGAGATAATGTTAAGTTGGTTTCTTAATCAACTCAGTGGCCTTGGTGATACTGCCATGCAAATTCAGGGTGACATCACCAAGTTCCTTCCCAGAAATTCAGTTCTGTAGGCCAGATAGCCCAGCAGGAGCCAGACTAGGCCATCTCAGCTTTTCAAGGTCAATTAACTAAATTAGGATATTTTACTGCCTTTGGAATTCAGAATAAACCACAGTGTCTGCAGCTCATAGAGTGAGACTTACTGGAGTATAAAAGATCGTTTAAAAGAAAACTGTCAAAGATGACAAAACAGAAATGTAGGAAAACCTCTGTTGTCTAATATCAGCTTCTTTAAAACCTGTTTTATTGACGATAACCTGCTTAAAGGCTTAAACTGAAATATTTAGGTTTGCATTAAAACCCCTAAAGGCTAAAAAAGGGCAGGATAGAAACCTGTGTATACAATTATTCTGATTTCCACCATCATTAGTTAGTGTTGGCTAAGCAAACATGTGTCTGAAGAGGCTAAACCAATGAGCTTGTTTTCCTATCTCTTCCAGGGAATGACAAAGAAAGGATTTTCAGTAGGCATATGAAAATGGGAATAAAAAATGTTTCATGAACTTTTCACTGTAAAATTATGACCCTAATTTAGGGATAGTTGTGGTTCACTGGTTCCCATCTTCAGTGTTCAGTGAGCAAAACTTTGGACAGGTTGCCAGTCACAAACTCACTCAAAGTCTGCCATTCATTTATACACACATTCACACCTGTGGCAAACTCCGAGTTCCCACGCTTTTGGTCTATATGAAGAACCCAGATCACCCAGAGAATACCCTGGCAGGGAATCAAACCCAAGACCTTCTTACTGCAGCATTACTAACTAGGGTTTTCACGGTGTGAAAATTTAACCTCACGGTTATTGTGACCAAAATTATCACGGTTTTTGGTATTATCTCAGTATTTTCTTTTAAACACGTTACATTTTCAGACAACTAAATAAACCCTGTATATCAGGAAAATATTGTCCTCGTTTTTTTTTTTTGCCTAAAATTTGATATTTTGTAATTATGTTGTTTATTTGTTTACATTTTTCTCCTTTAGTCTTTAAAATACCAATATTTGCCCATAACTTCTTATTTTTTTCTGTTTGATGTCATCATTTTAAAAGTATTAGATCAGATGATACTCAGTACTCAAGTAGCCTTCTAATCAGATACTTTTTTTTTACCCTTACTTGAGTAATAAACCCTATATCAGGTAAATATTGTCCTCGGTTTGTGTCCTTCCAGTGAGCTTTGCAGATGTGGGAAAATAGCATCAGGCAGTAATCGTTGTTAAATTCATAATTATTCTCGGAGAGAGACCAACTCTTATCTGCCCCTGGGAGCCCCGTAATGCATAGCATAATTTCAACATGGCGGTGTCCGCGACACGGTTTATATGCAGGTAGTGGCGCTGCGGCTGCTTTATATAGCGACTCGTTGCATTCTCCCTCAACCCAAATCCTCGGATCACGCATTTTAGCTAAAACGCTAACGTTAGCTTGCCTTGCGTTGACTGTAGAGTTGCGGGTGATGGTCACGCAGATGTGTCATGAGATGTGAAGCGTTGCTGCCTTTCACAGACACTTTTTCTGCACGTGCTGCAAACAGGATAGCCGTCTTCTATCAACTGTCCCTCGGCATTCTTCAAATATCCAAAAAATGCCCATACTTCCCACTTTGTCTTCTTTGAGGGATAATAAATGTCCTGAGCGCTGCCGTCACCTCCTTTGGCCATTATTTCAGCTTTAGCTTTAAGAAAGTTTTGGCTGTAAACAACAAAGTGCGCATGTACCGCCGGTGTTCTGAGAAAACGTCCTACTTTGGCAAAACGTCCTACCCGTAGGACAATTTTACGGTGTTTTACATGACACTAACCATAATCCTAACCCAAAAAATCAAGTATCAACGTCAATAAAAAGTACTAATCTACTTATCTATTTTCCTGCAAATATGACAGCGGAGTAGCATTCCCTTTATGTGTTGTGCGCATGCGCGCACATGCTCAGTAACAACGGGTTGGACGGTTTACAGGGTAGGAGAAATTCCCGGAACACCGGCAACTTCAGCAGATGATACGGTGGCTGGTAAGGGTCACCGCGCCTACACCGCAGCCACGGTAATCCACCGAGATAATATATTTATTTAAAAACAAGACGGTTATTATTATTGTCAACTTTTTTACTGGTGTTTACCGCTACACCGGTTACTGTGACAACCATAGTACTAACCAATCATGGTTTAGTCTAGATTTCAATAAGTTTGCATAATTTTGCAGTAGAGCGTTGGATAGAATGTGCCTTTGAGATTATTATTTCTCTGGCAGATCAGCAACGTGTTCTTATCTATCATCCACCCCTTATCTACAGTAATGTCAGTAACATGGTATTCATGTATTTTAAATACAATGCAAATGAGTAGTGGTTAACCATAATTAAAGTGGCTGTGTCAAATCGCATAACCGATCTGATGAGGATGACTTGAGCTAGTGTGGACCGTTCTGTTGGAATGAAACTCCAGAATTACCTGTTTAGGATGGGAGAGGCCAGCAATCACATGTTCAACACTTGTGTTTGTGTTACAGTCCTTGTATTATTTCACTTCTCTGAAATAAAAGTACTTATGATGCACCACATTTATATTTACATTTGGCAACAGAATTGTTGTGGGATCATGCTGATGTCCTGCTACTTCAGTTGATCTACCTGTTTCCATTCAGTGTAGCTATGGTGGGTCCTCAGGAGACAAGGACCCGAGGAAAACATCTTAGTACGTTAGTGTTTACTGAAAAAACTTTAAAACTCTTCAAGACACCCTCAGAACATGGTTACTGAGTTGAATGGTTTGATATTTTTATCAGACCAAATATTAGTTTCCACATCTTACTACTAATCAAGTCTTTTCTATTTTTACACGCATATGGAGATCAGAACTTGCTTTCTATCTATTTATTAGAGAATATCTATAATCACCCCATCTTCTCCAGTGTTACGTTGTTTTCTATAGATCATGCATAAGGTAAATCACTTTCAGTCTTAAGATGTTGTTCTCTCTGCGTTGGCCCTTTAAAGAGACGATGTGTAGTTTTTACCGTTACATATATCTGGAAATATCCATGGAAACGTTGAGAATGAATTAAATGATGCCCATTGGTTGGGAAAATTTTGCGGTTTCGTAACAGCCGTAAAAATTGGGTCTAAAATACACGGGAGCGGGTCTGTCTCTGGGCGCATGTCAGACGCCATGTTTCCTTCTACATGAGGAAAAAATGCATTTAGTGATTTGTAACAAGCTGTTCCAAACTTTCTCTATTCATGAACGTTGTTTTACATGTTTATGTATTTAGCAGACGCTTTTGTCCAAAGCGACTTACCTCCGCTCGTTGCCAGTGATTAAAGAGAAACTGATGTTCTTATCATTTTGCTGGAGGTTGCACTACCAGGGATTTTTGATCCCAATGGCCATCCATTGGTAAGGTCCTATTCAAACACAAAGTCCAGCTTGCTTGCAATGATTTAGGTATGTACCAGGGTTGGACGATTTGTATAATTTGGGCAATACATTTGTGCATGTGACACTTTGAGCAAAGTCCTCATGCACAGACCGATTTGCCAACACAGCAGTCCAAAGAGACTTTTTAAATACATGTTTGCTGGAAGATAAATAGATGTTTCTGATTTCATTTTGGATTTGTTGTTTGGTAGAGTGACGAATAAACGGCCCCTATTAAACACTGTTAAAGTGTTAAAAGGAAGCGTCATCTTTGTTTGCCTGCACAATTGTTTGCTCCTTTTGAGTTTGAGTGGGAAATGACATGAATTGCTGCAGCATTTGGACGCACCATGAGGAGGGTGCAACGTTCAATAATACCATTAAATTCCATTCATTTTAATTAATATTTAGTCCAAACAAGCTGACCAGAGTGCCCCAGTAACATATAAACAATGTAATTAAACGCTTTCACCTAAATTAGGAACATTTCACCTGCTGCGGCCCAAATGTACATTCCTACTGCTCTGCGTAAACCTGAACTGGCCACCTG